CCCCAAAACCCCAAAACCCCAAAACCCCAAAACCCCTTCTTTAGAGTTATTAATGGAATATTAAAAAATAGTTCAGCAACACTTACTTTTCTTGGCAAGATATTCATCTTTAAGACTCTGAGCATCATACTCAAATGGAGTCTTGCTTCAATCCTTAAAGTCCTTCAACTTTCAATACCTGAGTTCGCCTGGGTCCTTGGAGTTAACTTCTAAGCTGATTTTCCTTTCTAAAGTTATTACATATCCTTACTCTTTATAAATCTCTTGATAGTTTGTGAAATGTCAATCCCAAACGAGAAAGTGTTATGATTCATGTCTGCTCTTATAGTGATACCTCATAAATTATCTTTCCCTCATCTAACTGCCCTTGCAAAAAGATCTTCACTATGATGAGGTTTTATAACCTTGTCGTCCTTCCCGTGGATCATGTAGAAAGGGCAATTCAGCTCCTTGATAAAGTTGATAGACTTATACCTCTCTTTAATTAGGCATGTACTTAAACAACAAATATCCTTGGCTACTTTATTTTATTTGAGTGTAAGGGCTCATTAGGACTAAAAGACCAGGATTATTAGCAGCTGCTGTCTGGATAGCAGCTCCACTGCCAAGAGATCTTCCAAACAAAATAATGTCTTTCTCTTGATACCCAAACTCTTTATTTAAAAATTCATATAGCCTGAAGGACCTGCGAAGTATTTCTTTTGAACTAACTTTTTGTTTAAAACAAACTCCATAGCCAGGGTATTCAAGACCGATGACATGGCATTTAAATGAAACAGAAAGTCTCCTCATCATCTCCCCTCATCCAGCAAGGTCTTCTGCATTTCCATGAAGGTAAATAATGATCTTGCTAGACCTATAAAAATTTAGTTTCAAAGTCCAGATTTTCATCAAAGATTATTTATTCTATCAAAACTATTAGTTTTCTTACTTTTAGAAAAAGTAGAGTAAAAATAGCTACAACTTACCCATTCTCGTGCTCATAAGGAATATAGAATCAGGGAAAAGTATCCCTGCCTCCTATCTTTGAGTCTTCACAAATGGAGTCAGGTGCCGGACCATGAGAATTCTTACTTTCTTCAAAAGTAGAGTTACATCCTTTCTCAGTAGGAATAAAGATGAGAGATCCATCTTGGCGAAAATCTGTCTCTGAAAAGTAAAAGGGCTTTGGTGCAGGGAACACAATGCAGTTGAAATTCATTCGAAATATTTTCAAATTATAATTAACAAAACGGGGTTTTGGGGTTTTGGGGTTTTGGGGTTTTGGGGTTTTGGGG